ATTGGTCCGTATGATTAGATAGATAATGACTGTCAGGGATTTTGTGTATTGACTTATAGTAATATTAGATCTTTATATAATGTTTGCATCAGTGTGAAGATGTGCCTTGATTTAAATGTAAATGTCATGTAAATGTAATTATTTGTCCATATCAACCTTTTAGACAATATGTAGGTAACTAATTTGTGTTCTTAACTATGAAAGACGTGTTATTCACAGTGCGAACAGAAAAACTGCCTTGAATCAAGAAACTGCAAAAAGAGCTAAGTAAAATAACTCTGAGGATGAGTGACACTGCAGCAAAATTACATGTATATGTATATATAGTAATAGTAATAGTAAGTAATTAATACTGACCAAAGATGGATTGAGATTTTTTTGAAAAGAGATGATATCCAGGTACAGAATTAACTGCCAAGGCACCTTGTAAAGTTAAATGACAGGATGTTTTTACTGTGAATCTTTCAGTTCCTGCTTTTAATAACTCTCCAACAACCCTAAGTGTTAAAAAGTGTGTGTGTGTATCCAGGACAGCTCTAGATAGCAGTGTGTGCATGTGTGTGTGTGTGTGTGTGTGTGTGTGTGTGTGTGTGTGTGTGTGTGTGTGTGTGTGTGTGTGTGTGTGTGTGTGTGTGTTTGCAGCGCAGCTCTAGATAGAAGTGTTAAATTAGACCATGATAATAAGCTGTGGGACTTGATGTGCTCCCTGAGGATTGGACAAAGACTCATTTGTCTGTCTTCATCACTGAGCTGACACACACACATACGCACACACACACATACACACGCTTGCATACTTGAGAGCATACTGACACATACATAATTTATGCAAACACATACAGTGGTTCATCGAAGGTTCACACTCACACACTTATACATACATGCATTTGAACACACTAGCACATTACTTGAGCATGTTAGCAGACACGTGCATGCACACACAAGTCAGCCTTCATCAATGACCATACAGAAAACTGCTGTGTGATACGTCAACGTGTACACACACAGACACACACACACACACACACACACACACACACACACACACACACACACACACACACACACACACACACACACACTCAGTAGCCACCTTCAATCATTAATTTTTTTTTAATGTACCAGGTGTATTGTCACATGCTTCCACAATAATATGCTTTGACAGACGCACTGTTGCATTTATCTGTAGCAATTCAGTTCACACATATTACCACAAACATTTTTTCTCACTCATCTCAAGTTGTATCTATCTATGCGGGTAGTTTTGCTTTTATCTGTCCAGGTTTGCAGATAACTATTTTAATGCAAAGGGATCAGTGGGAGAGAGACAGGGAAGTTGTGGGAGAGAGAGAGGATGACATGCAGCAAAGGACCCAGGCTGGATTCCAACCCCCTAAATGATATATGCTCTATGAGGTGAGCCACCAGAAGAAAGAGAAAAAGAAACCAATTAAGAACAGAATCAACATTGCTTTATTCTTCAGTTGCAAACTGGTCTGTATGATAATGCAGGGTTCATTAAGATAACAAAATCACAACAATTCGTAGTTTAAGGTGATTATACAAGGAAAGCATAATTACGAATATCATATCTCTGTTAATAGATCACCCTACATACATACATAATGTACCTTTAACTAAAAAATTTAATACTTTGTCTTTGGCAGTATTTTTCCTTTCCTGAGCATTAGTCGCCTGCAGCCCACAAGTGACTAAATTTACCCCTGATCTGAAAATGCAACTGTGAATTTCTGAATGATTGTTCAGATGATACTCTGTCCACTACCTATGTTCGTATAATTTATTTAACTCCATGTGTGGGCTGTAGCATACATAACATACCTGGGGCAACAGAGGATGAACTACAAATGAATGAATATAACATTGAATTTTTAAATGAATATCTTCACACCACGGGTCTGTCACTTTGTTAGCCAATTTAAACTGCTGCTTACACACTGACTATATGGAGGTGTATGTGTGTTGCTAACGTTTATGTGCTAACACACTGTGTGGAGCATCTTCTGTTTTCTTTTTTTTTCCTATGATAAGAATTTGTCATAGAGAATCAAGAAATTTTGTTGGTATTGGTACCGACAACCAAATGTCTGGTATCGTAACATCCCTAGTTGTTCATTGCTCCTAGTCTTGCTTATATGCAAAAGACTTGTACTTAGGGCAATGAGCGTTGTCAGCATCAACTCTAGTCAAGTGAAACCGCTGTAAGAACATTTAGTTCTCTCTACCATTGTCACTAAGAGGAGGCTCATTGTGTTTGTGTGTGTGTGTGTGTGTGTGTGTGTGTGTGTGTGTGTGTGTGTGTGTGTGTGTGTGTGTGTGTGCTGCAGCATGTGAAAGAGAGTTGTCCCGCCCCTTTGCACACTTTGCACACACAGGCTCCAAGAGACAGAGAGAGATCTTTCTTCTGGACTGGGAATAGTGAAAATGCATAGTGGAGTGGATCATAGTGGAGGGGTGGAGGTAACGGAGCTCATGAAGGGCAGATGTTACAAATAATAATTCAATAAAAACGGAGGTGATGAAAATGCATGAATTGAAAAATGAAACATGTCTTCATATTTAATCATATCATGACTGTTTTAATCAATATGGCTTTGAATAATAATAATCAAATCACACAGATTTACTGATCTGTTTTCAATTCACATGTATTTTCATCACCTCCATTTTTATCAATTAATTTTTGTTACTTCCACTGTTCATACAAGAAAATCCTTTTATAAACAATAAACAGGAATTTTATTTTCTTAATTTCCCCAGTATGTGTGTGTGTGTGTGTGTGTGTGTGTGTGTGTGTGTGTGTGTGTGTGTGTGTGTGTGTGAACCCAAAAACATAACCAAATGTATCAATTTATTTTGATATAAATTTGTAGCAATAACATTTGTTTATCATCAGTGTTGGTGTTAATCTAACTTTTAAAGCTGCATTTATCAATAATTTAATATTAACAATGGATCAAATGAATATGTTTAATCACAATCGTAGCAAACTCACAGAGAATTAACTACGTTGTTTTGTGTCCTTCAGCTCATTGTTGGTTTTCCAGTGCAACTTTACAGTTTTGGTCAAGTCTTAGTGTTTTTATCAACCTGGTTTCAAGTACCAGCAGACAGCTATTTTCACACTCCCTGCCCAGCATTAGAGACATACAGTTACGAACTAGTGTCTCTTTAGCTGCTAAATGTTCCACTATATTCAACAGCTAGACTGAACATTTAACAGCAGAAGCAAATATTTTTCTCTCTGGTAGCTAGCTTGACTTCCAGCTATCGTATCTATCATTTCTGTCATTTTTGTGGGTGTGACCGTGTCCCATTGACAAAGGCTGGACCTTGTCAAGCAGAGAGGACAGCAGTTTAATTCAGAGGTTTGTGCATTGAAGACAATCCTGGATCCTTGACTGGTGACTAGTTATATCTATAATGTGCTTGTCAAGCTGTCATTGACTCAGCTTCTACTGTTCTGAGATCAGTTATGATTTTGCAGTATTATACACATGTACAGACGTGTGGAAACTAAACTTGCACATTAAGCGTTTAGAGGCAGCAGTAGCAAGTAAACAAGAAACTACATCTGCAGTAAGATTGAGATAGAATATTGTTAGAGGAGTAGAGCAGCTCCTCTCAGGTTGTACATAGCTTGTGTGCATAGCAGGCGCTGTTGGCATAGTTGGCTGCTCGTTCCTGCTTGCCTATCTGTAAAAGTCACTGCACGCCACTGGTAAATAGGCAACTGTTTGCTTACAATATCAGCTTTAGTCATAATATGACAATCCTAGGCTTGCAGCTCATTCTGCTGCCTCCAGTTGGCCAAAATAAAACATGTCTTTAAAGTGTCTGTTTTTTTTTACAAATATGTAACCATGCTTTTCCCTAGCCATTTTCTTCAATGAGTTGCCTATTGTTGTATCTGATCAACATTTGCTCCAAAGTTCCAGTAGCATGCTTTTACGCACAGCATGCCAAATATGCAAATGTTCTGGCAGTGAAAATTTGACGCATCTCAGAACAGACAGCTCTATAGGCATTATTGTGAGACAGGACACTGCTGAAAACAAACATCAGGGTAAAAGGGAGAGAACAGGGTTTAGAAAATGAATAGACAGAGATGGGAGGGCAAGGAACAGCAGGCTGGTAGGGGGATGCTGCAGAGAAAAGGAAATCGCATTATACACACACGAGCACTATACAAAAAATTACGGGTAATACACTGCAAAATATATGAATGATTTTGCAGTTGCAAGGTAGATGGAGTCTGTATGTGTGTGTCTGTGCTCTAAGGCAAACAGATCATCATTGATTTTGTTCTTATACAGAAAAGAGACACACACACACACACACACACACACACACATCAGTTGACATATATCTAGTTCTAAGATACATGATGTGTGTTTTGATAATGGTGCTCACAAGTAACACATAAACCTCTTTATTCCTCTGCTGTTTATGTACCCTCTTGTTTTCCTCTTTATGCTGTGTACAAGCACACACACACACACACACACACACACACACACACACACACACACACACACACACACACACACACACACACACCAACACACCATGTGTGCCTCATTTCTTTTAAAACTCTCCATCCGTCATCCGCCCCTCCCTCCCTATGTCTCTCTGACTCTGCTGTTATCAATGGGATTGCAGCAGTCAAGACATTTGCGCTGAATTAACAGCATTCCTCCACTCTCCTTAGTGTGTTATTGGCACCCTCTATCTGCAGCCTGTTGGCATAACCACTACATTCCACCATACTTGCAATGCCGCCACCCCCACCCACCACCACCACCACCACCACCCCCCCATTCTCCACCAGCAATCACATTAACAGCAAACTACTAATGACAGAGGCTGAACTTGCCAGAAGAATGTTGGTGTGTATAGTTTTACTTGAGTAAAAGGAGATTAGATGCTTTGCATGCAAACTGTCACATTTCCCTAACCCTCTGTTTCTCTCTCTGCAGTATGTGGCGTTTGGGTCACTCTTCTTCATCCTCCTCTCCATCTCCACTTTCTGCCTGGAGACCCATGAAGCCTTTAACACAATCTACAACAAAACGGAGAATGTAACCAATGGCAACATGACACATGAGGAGGTACAGTGAAGTTTTAGTGGATTGGTTTGTTAGACTTACATATGTTAAGTTGACCGTTCAAGGGTCACTCAAGCAATTCAGTATTGCTCTTTGATAAAGTTGTGAGATTTGTGAGAAAGATTAAAAATGAATGAAACAGAAGAGGCTGAGATATCCTAATTTTTAGTCCCTAGCATCAGTTGACATTTCCTATGATGCAAGTAAAAGCATCCTTTTGTTAGGCCCTCCTTGTAAGGTAAAAGCACAAGCTCCTAAATGTATCTCCTCCAAGCCCAAGCAGAGATAACCCTGATGGTTTTCACAGGCTGGTTTGTACTGCTCATAAACATGAAAGTGACATTTGGTTTATAGTTTATAGCTTATAGTATATAGTTTACTACACTTATTTCTCAGGGACCATGACCAGAAAACATGAACCTCATATTAAGAGAGAAGATAAGTATACGTGATGGAGGGGGTCAGGATCACCCTAATACGAGTTATGTATTTTTATTGGACAGAGTTTATTTACACCCATTAGTGATGTGCAGATTGCAGTTATATCTGCGTGCACTATTAACAGCTGATGGGTTGCAAGTGAGTTAAATAATGTATAAAATATGATGAAATTATTGTGGATACAGATGACATCAGAGCTGATCAGTGCATCACTTACTCCCATACAAGAGAGGAATTGCTAAAGAAAATGTACAAGAAGTACAGTAAGTGAAAAACAGTGGGACTATAAAGCATAAACGCATATAACAGTTAGATGGTGGAACCATATGTCCAGGGGAACATGGTATTGTGCCTCTGGATATATACCTCATGAATGAATAAATGAATGAGTAAAGGCATGATCAAATTAACTTACCCTTGATTTTTTTTCTTCCACCCTGCAGATAGTGTATGAGGTGGTCACAGATGGCTGGCTGACATATGTGGAGGGCGTCTGTGTCATCTGGTTCACCATTGAGGTGATGCTGCGCGTCATCTTCTGCCCTGATAAGGCAGAGTTCTTCCGCAGCGCCCTTAACATAATAGACTTTGTGGCCATTGTGCCCTTTTACCTAGAGGTAGCGCTGAGTGGCCTCTCCTCCAAAACAGCCAAAGATGTGCTGAGTTTCCTGCGTGTGGTGCGTTTTGTCCGTATCCTGCGTATATTCAAGCTCACCCGCCACTTTGTCGGTTTACGGGTCTTGGGCCACACTCTGCGGGCAAGCACCAACGAGTTCTTGCTGCTCATCATCTTCCTGGCACTGGGCGTCCTCATCTTCGCTACCATGATTTACTACGCTGAACGCATTGGTGCTGACCCAGATGATCCAACGGCTGCAGCCCACACCAACTTCAAGAACATCCCAATTGGCTTCTGGTGGGCTGTAGTGACCATGACCACACTTGGCTACGGAGATATGTATCCCGAGACATGGTCAGGAATGCTGGTGGGTGCCCTCTGCGCCTTGGCTGGTGTGCTGACCATTGCTATGCCTGTGCCCGTCATTGTCAACAACTTTGGCATGTATTACTCCCTGGCCATGGCCAAGCAGAAGCTCCCCAAGAAGAGGAACAAGCACATCCCCCGAGCGCCACAGCCAGGCAGCCCCAACTACTGCAAGCCGGATGCCCTGGCCATGGCAACTGCCTCACCGCACAGGCTGATGGGCAATGTGCTAGGGCCGGGCATGGTAGGATCTGGCAGCATGATGGGTACTGGAGACTGCCCACTGGCACAGGAGGAGATCATCGAGATCAACAGGGCAGGTGAGTGATTGAACAGAATTAAGATCATGTAAAAGTATGTAGTATGTTGAAGTTCCAGTGGGCCTTGAAAGTGTGTTGATATGATGAGGAAAATGAAAAACAGCAGAAAGTACCATATTTTTATTAAAATGTCCCAGCATGTCAGACTGAATCGGCTGAATTGCTGAGAACAACAGATGTGCTAATGGGAAGCAAAGCAAATCTGTAGAAATCTTTCGTCTCTAGTTTAAATGTATACCCTCAGATTTCTCTCTTAATCCGAGAATCAAACCTCTTGATGGAAATTTCTGATTATTATAATATAATAATCTGTCTCTCAACTGTCAAAAAATTGTTAAAAATGCCCATCATCAGAGCCTGAACTGACATTTTCAAATATGCCATAGGTATTCAACTAAGAAGTACAGATGGGTCACCAATTAAATAAAAACCAACATCAAGTGTTGTAGTAAGTTGTTGTTCCACCACAAGCCACAAACACAGTTTCAATGTGCCTTGGCATTGATTATCCAAGTCTCTGGACTCTGCTGGAGGAGGAACACTCTTCTTCCAAAAAGCTGTTCCCTCATGTGGTGTTTTGATGATGGTGGTGGAGAGCTCTGTCTAACACATTGCTCCAAAATCTCCCATAGGTGTTCAACTTTCAACCGTGAAGGCCACAGCATATGACTCACATCATTTTAATACTCAACAAACCATTAAGTGACTCCTCGTGGCCTGTGAATACATAGTCATCCTGAAAGAGACCACTCTGATGAGGATAGAAATGTTTCATTTTAAAATAAGGGGGATCACTTACAACAACTGTGTATTGATTTGCAGTGACCCTTCCCTTCTAGGGGACGAGTTAACCCAAACCATACCAGCACAATGCGGCCCTACCCCTGACTTTTTTCAGTCCTGCCTAAATAGATATAACTTTCTCAGTTTTAAAACCTGTTTTTAACCCATTCAAAAATCTGATTGTGATATTATATGTTTAGATTGCATATAGGATGCTTGCTTTTTGACACAAAAAAGTGTACTTNTGTGCCTCATTTCTTTTAAACTCTCCATCCGTCATCCGCCCCTCCCTCCCTATGTCTCTCTGACTCTGCTGTTATCAATGGGATTGCAGCAGTCAAGACATTTGCGCTGAATTAACAGCATTCCTCCACTCTCCTTAGTGTGTTATTGGCACCCTCTATCTGCAGCCTGTTGGCATAACCACTACATTCCACATACTGCAATGCCGCCACCCCCCCACCCACCCAACCCAACCACCACCACCACCACCACCCCCCCCATTCTCCACCAGCAATCACATTAAACAGCAAACTACTAATGACAGAGGCTGAAACTTGCAGAAGATGTTGGTTGTATAGTTTTACTTGAGTAAAAGGAGATTAGATGCTTGCATGCAAACTGTCACATTTCCCTAACCCTCTGTTTCTCTCTTCTGCAGTATGTGGCGTTTGGGTCACTCTTCTTCATCCTCCTCTCCATTCTGCCACTTTACATGCCGCATGAGACCCATGAAGCCTTTAACACAATCGTAACAAACAAAAACGGAGAATGTAAACCAATGGCAAACATGACACAAATGATAGGAGGACAGGTTGGGAAGTTTTAGTGGATTCGGATTTGTTAGATACCTTACCATTATATTGTATTAAGGTTGACATTAAGAAGGTACTTAAGCAATATCAGTATTGCCTTCATTATAGATAAAGTTGTGAAGATATGTGAGAAAAGATTAAAAAATAAAATGATATACAGAGAGCTGAGATATCCTAATTTTTAGTCCCTAGCATCACTTGTTGACCAATTTATCCTATGAGTGCAAGTGAGTGACAAAGCATCCGATATTTTCTTAAGGCCCTATCTTGATAAGGTAAAAGCACCAAGCTCCTAAATTATCTTCCTCCAAGCCCCAAAGCAGAGAAAACCCTGATGTCACGGCTGTTGTCTCTCTAACATGAAGGATTTGGTTTAGTTTATAGCATAGCTTAATTTATATGTCCATAATACACTCACATTTGAAACAATGTTTCAGGTAATAATACTTAATATATAGTTTTTATCTTAACTTATATTTTAGTATAAGTTATAGTTTGCCTACCAGAGCCTGCTCATCTTTTCTCAGGGACCATGACCAGAAAGAGTTCTGGACAAAGCCTCAAGTTAATGACGAGAAGATATTAGAGTAAACTACGTGGACTGGAGGATGTGGTATCAGGACATCACCCTCTAATACGACGAGTTATCTTCGAATACTTTTTAGTGGACAGAGGTTAATCTTACACCAAATTAGTTATTGGTTGGCAGATGCAGTTATATCTGCGTGCCACTATAACAGCTGATGGGTTGCAAGTGGAGTTAAATAATGTATTAAAATATTGATGAAAATTATTGTGGATACAGATGCAATCAGAGAGTGATCAGTGCATCACTTATCTCCATACAAGAGAGGAATGCTAAAGAAAATGTACAAGAAGTACAGTAAGTGAAAAAACAGTGGGACTATAAAGCATAAACGCATATAACAGTTAGATGGTGGAACCATATGTCCAGGGGGAACATGGTATTGTGCCTCTGGATAATATACCTCATGAATGAATAAATGAATGAGTTAGAGCATGATCAAATTAACTTACCCTTGATTTTTTCTTCCACACCTGCAGATAGTGTATGAGGTGGTCACAGATTGGCTGGTACATATGTGGAGGGCGGTCTGTGTCATCTGGTTCACCATTGAAGGTGATGCTGCGCGTCATCTTCTGCCCTGATAAGAGCAGAGTTCTTCCGCAACGGCCCTAACATAATAGACTTTGTGGCCATTCCAAAAGTTGTCCCTTTTACCTAGAGGTAGCGCTGAGTGGCCTCTCCTCCAAAACAAAAGCCAGAAAATGTGCTGAGTTTCCTGCGTGTGGTGCGTTTTTGTCCGTATCCTGCGTATATTCAAAGGCTCACCCGCCACTTTGTCGGTTTACGGGTCTTGGGGCCACACTCCGCGGAGCAAGCACAAACGAGTTTCTTGCTGCCTCATCAATCTTCCTGGCACTGGGGCGTTCCTCATCTGGTCACCCTACCATGATTTACTACGCTGGAACGCATTTGGTGCTGGACCCAGATGATTCGCAACGGCTGCAGCCCACAACCAAACTTTCAAGACCATTCCCAATTGCTTTTGGTGGTATGGGACGCATGGAAGCAACACCTTGGCACGGAGATATGTATCCCGAGACATTGTCAGAATGCTGGTGGGTGCCCTCTGCGCCCTTTGGCTGGGTGTGCTGAACATTGGCTAATGCCTGTGCCCCGTCATGGTCACTACAGCCCACCAGAAGCCAAATTGGATTGTTTCTTGAAGTTGGTGTGGGCTTGCAAGCCGTTGGATCCATCTTGTGTCAGCACCAATGCTTCAAGCGTTAGTAAATCTTGTAGCGAAGATTTGAGGACGCCCAGTGCCAGGAAGAATGATGAGAGTCGAGGCATGGATGGGATGAATACCGGTGGGCTTGGCCCGCACAGAGTGGGCCCTCAAGGACCCGGTGGCCGTAAAATAGCGCGACGAGTAGAGAGTGAGTCGTGTCGGGTGATGAGTATGGGGCGTTAGTGGATGTGCGTGTAGGGTAGCGTTCAACTACAGCAGGATATCGGAAGACGATGTGACAGTCACGCAACCAACAACGCTATGGAAACGTTGCAGCAACATCTTTGGCTGGTTTTGGGATGAAGAATTAGCGACACACTCAGCCAGCTAGTAGCGCGTGGAGGATGTAAGTAGTGAAAGTGTGGAGTGGCAATGGCCACCAAAGTCTATTATGTTAAGGGCGGCTGCGGGAACTTCTGTGGGCCTTATTCCTACGAGGGCGGGTCAGAAGATGCGCGCGCTGCAGGAGGATGCGCGGTCACCTCAATGGGAAACCAGATGACACCAGGACGCCCTCCACATATGTCAGCCAGCCCATCTGGGACCACCTTCATACAACATCTGCAGGGTGAAGAAAAAAGAGATCCGAGAGTTGAAGGTTGATATTGGTCGATGCGCGTGTGTGAGTCCGATTCGTGTCGTCGATGTGGATGGGCGAGTGTTCATGATGGGTGAAGTATCCAGGAGCACAATAACCATTGTTCCCCTGGAAATAGTGGGGGCGGCGATCCTGTGGAGTCTAACGGTGGTTCAATGCGTTGGATGCTTGATACACTAGTCCCACTGTTTTTCACTTAACTTCGTACTTCTTGACATTTTCTTTACCAAATTCCTCTTTCGTATGATTGGAGTAAGTGTTGTTGCCACTGATCAGCTGCTGATGTCATCTGTATCCCAACAATATCACAGTCGTGAGTATCTTTATACATTACTAACCTGTTAACTCACTTGGCAGAGTAGACTATCACCCCTCCATCAAAGTCTGTTTCTGATAGTATGCGTCAGGCACGGACCAGACTGCATATAACTGGCAATCTGGGCACAGCTCCCACTACTGGGGTGTAAAGATAACGGAAAACTCTGGTACCCACAACTAATTAACATAATGACTCGTTTTAGGGTGATCCTTGGACCCCTCCATCCCACGTATATTATCTTCTCTTCTTATGAACTATGAGGGTTCAACGTGATTTCTGGTACTATGGTCCCCTGAGAAATAAGTGTTATGTAAACTAAGGCCTATCACTATAGGCTATAAACTTTAAACCCAAATTGTTCACTATTGTTCATGTTTATTGAAGCAGTACAAACCAGCCTGTGAAAGACCCATCCAGGTTATCTTCTGCTTGGGCCCCCTCCT